TCATACCTGCGCTGACCCATCAGCAACAAGCGTGGCTTGTTCTGACGGAGTCGGCGATCCATGTCTTCTGATGTGATGGAAGAGTGAGTTCGAGATGTGGGAGGTGGCTGACGCTCTTGTGACGAGGAGGGAGACTCGGGTGGGCGAGAGAAAGGTGGCTTGTCAGTGTTATGCGCACTCAGAGCCTGCTCTTCATCGCTTGGAGTTTTGAGAAAGGGTCTGATGTCAGTTGCGTCAGTCTCGGGAGGTTCAACATAAGTGTAAGCGGCAGGAAAGTCAGGAAAGCGGTTGCGCTCAGCGTTTATAGAGGCCATCCTCAGTTGCTCTTCAAGAGTCGCGCCACTAGTCGTGCTAGTCGCTTTGTCGTCGTCTCGGCGCTCCATCTTGGAAGAGTTCTTGTGGGACATGTGATGTAGGGGAAAGTGAGTCGCCGCGGCGATGGGAAGGAACGACAAAACAATAACCTCCATGTTTGTCTCCCAACTTTCGCCGGTCTGGTACAATGTTGCCACAAATTCACTGTGCTGGCCTCCTTTGCATCTAAACAAAGCAGCCAAAGAAGGACAGACTCACCACCTAGCACAGTCTCAGAGATAACGTTTTGTATACCCTGCTGCTTACTCTGACATCTCAACTCGACCTCATTTTGTCCGTGTATACAGCTTTCTCAATTCAAAGGTGTCCCTAGCCTGACGTCCTGAACAAGCCGCCTTGATTCTGCAATCCTAGGGAGGTGCGAGAATCCCGGTCCAGTCACCAGGAGACAGGACTTCAGAACGGCAGTAATGCGAGCGAGAAAAATTCAACAGTCTGAAGAGACCAGGAGGAACGTCCAAGAACGTCTGCGGAGACAACCAAGCCACTGCTCTACAGCTCCCTTCTCCTGTCTGGTGAACCAAAAGTCATGCCTTTGATCGACATTGTGTCTCCAAACCTTGCTGATGTTGAGCTGATAGTTCGGCCTGGAAGTATATTTCTCCGTAGAAGGGGAAATACGGGGGCGCACGAGACACCCATGACGAAGATGACGAGCAATACGGTTGAGAGTTTACCTTCCTATCCTCAAACCTTTCTTCAATACCACCACCACTAATACCACCCTAGTCCCCCTTAAGAAATCCCATCTCTGCTCGGGTTTTTGTCATCGACACCCTCATGACGTCAGTACGAGCTTACGAGCACAGTGTGTTGAATTCAGATGGTGCTAACGCATGTTGACTGAAAGCGGTACCTGGGAATATCCATTTCAGGTTATATTCAGTGCGCTGATGGTTGAGGGAATAATGGGCCTACTTCATGTCGTTCAAAAATGAGCCAAGGCGTGTCCTGCCCCTTAATCGTCACGGAGGGCATGCAATATGACTATTTCGATGCCCGGATCGCTTATGAGAGTTTTTGTTATGTGCAACGTTGACCGCTTACACCCTTGCCTCCACCGTGCAAAGTCCCGCCAACGAGGTTCGGGAGGTATTACGGGAAGTACTACGTCCATTGGAAACCCTTCACGCGAGACCCGGAGCGTCAGCAGGACAAATTTAAGGACATTCTTCGGCCGTAGCGTCCTGGATGATGACAGGAAGTCAGGGAGGGCGGCAACTCTAGGAGAATATAACGCGACAAGTTTTGAGTACCTTAATAACAAGACCAGTAACAATGGGAATTCATTGGTTGAGATGCTTTGGTGTGGTGCCAAGGTCGTGTTCTCAAATATCCCTTTCTAATGTTTGCAATCACGGGTATATCTTTTCCTGGATCGAGTAGTGCTCTGGTTTCCCAACACGAGGGAATCCAGGGAAGCAGGCAATAATTTCGACATAAACTACTTGTATGAGTAAGAGAAATGTGGCGCCCATGTGGACCACGGGCGGAACTTCCGTTGTAGCTTCGGTGGATTTCTTTGTCATGTGTCAATCTTCAGAACTTGTACCGAGTTACACGCTACTCCGTAGATATTTTCCGGCATGTTCCTGCATCAGGGATTCCTCTTTCGTTCTCCATCGGTAAATAGTTGCTGTTTTCAGATACTCTTGTTGAGAACTGACCAACAACAACATTCACATGTCAAACACTTGCTGGATCAAACGGAAACATGAGGAGGCATGGAGAGAGCGCAACCAGCTGTCCTCTTATCATACTTCTCACCTCTTCCCACTCCCTATCATACGCCCTTGATCCGATCGTTCTCTTGCACCCCTTGGCTCCCCTGTGGAATGTACTATGATTAACATTTACATCTCAATCTGACATAATGCTACTCTGTTCTCCAGTCTAACGCAGGCTTACCGTCCTGGCGTCGTTCCCGATCTCGCCTCGCCTGCGCCTGGCTCTTCCCCCTTTCACGTCGAGGCTGCGCGCGGCCCCAGTATCCGGCCCTTCGGTCACCATTTATCATATTTTGAATTCCTGCTTGTTCCTGTTGGCGGAGTTACTGATAGCCTTTAGAGAGACAACCATGAGATTATAAAGCATCTATATTGCATGTGTACCTCGTCGACGTTGAAGTTTTGCCCCTTTCCCATCTGTCACTCCTCAATTCCACAACTATGGACCCATCCCTACGTCCACAGCCTTGCCGGCTTCTGAGTCTCCCCAACGAGGTCAAACTCCATATCGTCGATTATGTGCGTCTCTGAGAAGAGTCCCAAGGAAAAATCATGTAACTGAGCAACTCCCAGATCGATACCCGCAGAGACCTCTACAATCTGTCTCTAACATGTCGTGCCCTCGAGGACATTGTCATTCATCGGCTCTATTACAACGTCGACTTCCATCTCCCTCAATTCCCACTGCCTGGAGCAGTCGCGTTCCGAGATGCCCTCGTTCAATCTGTTCGAGAACTCACAATCAGAAATGGCAGGACGCAGAGAAGGAATTCGGTGTTCAAGCGCAGGAGAATATCAGATGCGGGCTCTGTGGAGGGCCATGTGAACAGCCTACTTGAATATGTTCCTAGCAGTCGAATGACGAGCTTTGCGTAAGTCAGTTGTATACGAGGAGGGCTGGTTCATACTGATTGTCCCAGACTTTTACACCAGAGCCCCCTAGGCTGCCAAACGTTGACGTCCCTCGCCCAGCGACACGAGCGAACCCTCAGGCGCCTCCATTTCTACGACATTGCTTCTTGGAAAGAGGGAACGCTGGTTCCTAGATACCTGACAAGTCTTGAGGCCCGCACCGTCAATGATGGAGAGGCGGTGGAAAACATCCTAGCTGCCAATAGAAAGTCAATCGAGAGGTTGTCATTAGGGCAGGAGAAACAGCTGATCGATTCTTACCAATCGAGCAGGCTGAGTTTTCTCCAACAAATCCAGCAACCGCTAGAGACACTTTTCCCCTCGTTATATCGACTGGACACCTTCCCTCAACTACGCGAGCTGTCTCTGCAAGGCCTGGATCTGACTCCTCTGCGGCCATCTTCGATTCCGCATGCCTTGTTCTTCTGCCAGCTGGAACGCTTCAGCTTGGAATCCTGCGCTGGCAGCCATGATCTCCTTGAATCCATCGCAGGAACGTTTCACTGGGCGTCGACATCCCCGGAGGCACCCCAGAACCCCCGCGTCAGCCCGTCCTTGAAACACTTTCTTTTCCGACACGAAAATCCTACAACCCCCCTCAAGGAAGCCCTCGTCCGCTTCCTCAGCTCATTCACCGGCCTACGGACCTTGTCCCTATTACTTGAAAACGGCGCCATACTTGAAAGGCCGAGCACCTTCATCGCCGAACACGGTCCCACCCTTGAAACTCTTGTGTTTGAATCCCGCATCCAGCCCCGTGAACACCTCTCTATTGACACTTCCCGCCCCTTCGGCGTTGGTGGATACAGTCATGATTTGTGGGAGGAGTCGATCAACGACATCGCTCGCCTCTGCCCCAACCTGAGAGAACTCGGCATGGGCTTTCCCTGGAATGATGAGATGATCCGACTGCGAAAGACCGCTCTCCCAACGCTCGAGCACCTGCGAACCATCCACATTCGTAATTTCCCTGAGAACCAAGTATTTAGCCAAGTGGGAGACTACACCATCAAAGAGTACGCGACAAAGTTCGTCGAATGGGTCTTGCCCTCCTCGATCGGAGGAACAACACCGTCCCTGACACACCTCGCCATCGGCCCGACACTGTACGAGTCTCGATGGAAGATCATGCCCCCTTCCATTGCCACGGATGCAAACGCCTCCACCACCCAGCGCCGTCAGCAAGCGACGTCGCGCGCACAGCCACCCGAGTTTCTACGCACGCACCACTTCTGCCTCGACTGGGCCAAGACGCGCTTCAATCGCTGGAGCTGTCTGATCACGTCCGTCTCGGAAAATTACATGGAAGAGATCACCGGCCAGAAACCTCTGGGCGGTGTCTTTGAACAAGTCTGGTTGAGGTGAAACACTTCGATGCGGTTCTGATTTGTTTTACCTGGGGCATGAAAAGACGAGCCAGGCGCTCACCTCTGTTTTTCGATCAATTTCGCAGTCTCCCGACATCGGCGCCTCACCTGATCCCTTGCCAGAATCAGTGCATCATTTGGGATGGATTGGATTATTTCTGGACCATTATTGTGGAATCTTCTGTTCTCTGGCGGTGTGGAGCTGCCATTTATTACATCATTTTCATATTTTGGTTTTTTCTTTGGTTTTTTTCTTCTTTTTAGCGAGCGAAACGATACCCATATAGACCGACCGACTAAAATGCATTCAATCTGGGGGGGTTTAAGGAAGAGTGTAATAAAATAGAACGAGCATTGGTGCCATCCTTTTTGGAGTGACAAGAATAGAGCATACAAAATAGTAATATCGAGGATTTCCTCAGACCATCGTCATTACATGCCTGATCCAATGAAAGGGTACGAGTACTGAGATAGATATAGATAGATCGAAAGTCATTCCCAGTGATCGGCTCAATGCATACATATGTTTATATGTACCGAGTATCGGGTGCCGGGTACATATCGTCCCCTTTCCGGGTCGTTCTCATGCTTAGGCTTCTGTGTGGTCTGTGTCTAGGTCTCAGTCCTTGTCAGTACCTGTACTTGTACTTGTAGATTCTCCTTGTCCTTGTCCTTGCCCGGCCGTGGCTGGACCCCTGGCGTCGGACTTTCTGGTGGCGTGCAGTTTCCTCAACCTCCTTGTTCTCCAGTCAGCCAGGTCTTCGGCGGAAATCTGTCCCGTCGTGGAGCTCTCCTCGCGTCGCTGGCTGACGGCCTGCTGCGTCCTCTGCTGCTTGAGGAGGCGGTCCTGCTCCACCACGCCTTGCTCGATTTGTTGGCCCGCTACGTCGCTCAGGATGCCGTTGCTGCCTGTTTCTGGGGAGGCAGAGAGGCAAATGCGTCTGCCGAGTTTGTAGTCCCATTCCCAGTCGCCTGACTTGCCGCCACTCTTGGCCGTGACTCGTGTCGCTGTAAGGACCATTTCCTTGTCCACGCCCTTGAGCATGTCGTACATGGTCAGCCCTGCCATAGACGCCGCGGTGATGGCCTCCATTTCGACGCCGGTTTTACCTTCGCAGGCCACCGTGGCTGTCACCAGTACGCCACCGAAGAGCCGGTCCATATCGCTGGGAATCCCGACATCTCCTTTCCCTTCTGATAGAGGATACGGCAGCTTGTCTGTCATAAATGGTTCCAAGCGTACTGTGGCACCCGTGATATTGAGACCCGGATGAGCAAGAGGGATGAGATCCGATGTCTTCTTCGCAGCCTGGATGCCCGCTATCCGAGCCACGGCCAGCGCGTCGCCTTTTCGTAGCCGCGATGCAAACAGCACCCCGTATGTCCCGTAGTGGGAGAAAAGCAGCAGAGTTGTTGCTGTCGCGGAGCGAGACGTTGGTTTCTTGTTTGCGATAGAAACCATGTGCGCTTCGCCATCAGCAGTTAGGTGAGTGAGGGTCGCGTCCGCGCTGGCTCCTGTTTGGGACTCTGCTTGTTCCCCTTCAACAGACTGTTTTGATTGTTCATTTTCAGTCCACCAACTTGGTGAGCTTCTACTACTGCGTCCGTTGTGAGGGCTCTGGTGGTGATACACGCGCTTCATGATATCTCGAATCAGATACTGGCCGTACGATTGCGCTCTATACCTTGCTCTCGAGGCTTTCCCCTGTAAGGATCGTTGTCGGCTCTCGTCCCAACTACGAAAGGAATTTGCAGGAATATTCTCCGGCTTCTTTGTTGGGACACGTCGGTACAAGGACTGGCCATGAACATAACGGAAGGGCTTATGCCTCAATCCGGCCAGCGAAGTTGAGACACTGAACCTTCTGAGCCCAGCGGGGTTTGTCGAAGATAGCGAAGAAAGGCAGCGAACTTGAGACCATGACAGGGAAGGTGTAGGTTGGTGCAGCAGATGCATCGGAAGCGAGGATTGGTGGAAGATATTCATGGCGTTGGCATAGCTGGGGAGGCATGTCCGAGGCGGCGAAGGAGACATAGATTGTTTGAGCGGAGCATCATCTACAAAAGCACAATAGTCAGCTAAATCACTGACCAGATGAAATGAGCTGAAGAGAAAGAGGAACGCAGACACGAAATAGGTCTATATTCATCATATCGAAACTTTGATATTGTGTACTGTTGTTCCACATAGCCGTTTGTCGTGGCAGCTCGAAGATCTGGTAAGAGAGAGGAAGTCAAGGCCTACCCACCGATGAGAATCATTGGTCTGTTTTTCATGTTCTCCAGCTCGCCAATGCCAGCATGCTTCTCCTTCTTGCGCTTCACCGCCATGCCAATGACATTGAGCAACTTTGCTTCCTGTTCAGACATCCCTGGCTCTCCAGTCGCAGACAGTTGCTGGCGGTGATTTAGCTCGAGCTGTCGAATAGCCTCCATGGCTTCGGCGTCAATTGGGTTGCCGTGATTGGATTCGCGTAGAATATCCCGCAGAGAGACTTCGGCATTTCCAAAGAGGCAAACCTTCAGATTGCCATCGGAGGTGATTCGAAGTCGGTTGCAAGTGCCGCAAAAGTTGTGCGTCATGGACGTGATAAACCCGATTCGACCAGCAAAACCTGGGACTTTGTATGTCTTGCTTGTATCGTTCTTGTGATCTCGTACCTTTTCGACATTGGGATACTTTTGGCGGATGAGAGCCAACATTTCCCTGAAGCCTAACATCTTTTTCTCCGACCATTTGTTACCGTCAAATGGCATGTACTCGATAAATCGCACCTCGAGATCTTGGTTCCTGCCAAGTTCCACAAATGGTAGAATCTCCCGCTCATTCAAACCCCGCATTACCACACAATTGATCTTGAGTTTGATGGCTGCTCCCATTTTGTTCATCTCAAGTATGCGATTGATAGATTTCATGACTGCATCGTGTCCATTTCTCCGCGTCATGATGGTGAACTGGTAAGGATCGAGTGTATCCAAGCTCAAATTGACCCCAGTCAGTCCGGATTCAACCATGGAATCGAGTTTTCGATGTAAAGATATGCCATTTGTTGTTATACACAATTCTTTCAGACCATCGCCCCTCAACTTCCCAATCTGATGCATGAGATCCACAATATCTTTTCGAACCGTAGGTTCACCCCCGGTCAGTCGAATCTTGTCGACGCCCTGTTTAACAAACAATTCCGAGAGATATACAATTTCGGGGGTTGTGAGTAACTGCGCGGAAGGAGAAAGCGGAACACCTTCCTCGGGCATGCAATAAAGACATCGTAAATTGCATCGTTCGGTGATTGATATGCGCAGATAGTTATGCTGGCGCGAGTAGTTGTCGGTTAGAAAGGACGAGAAAGAGCGTGGTTCGGACTCGTTTCGTAAGCCTTCGAGTCGTGGCCGCTCGTTCTGAGGCGCGGAAGGCCGCTGGTCCTGGAGTGTATGTGCCTGCCATCGCGGATCTGCTGCTGCAGGTCGCTGGGGTCGGATGTTCGTAGCGGTGGACAACGGGCGCTGAGGATACCGAGGAGGCTTCGAGTGGCGAAAGGTTTGTGGCCTTGTTTGGCGCAATAGAGTGGCAATCATCTGTTTGAAGCTGGCTTCAGCCATGGTCGGAGAGAGTGAAAGGTGAGAAGAAGCTCCAACATGGGGACCGAGGGGAAAAGTAGAGGTTTTGTCATTAGCAGAGCTGAACTATTCGGGATAAATAATAAGGCATTGCAGAAGCAATCTTATACGCGGATGACATGTTAGCAATGAGCAAACCATCTATCTCTAGATTGATATTAGTCACTGTGCAGGAATTTAATGGCAAAGAGGAGACGGAGATGTGAGGAGAAACCAATGCAGTTTGCCGAACTTGGTAACCTCGCGCGAGATCCGTACGAACCGCAGGAAGCAGGGACGAAGATGGGTTTGACCACGTGACACAGACACCAGCCACATATCTCAGCCACACTCGCTACAGCTCCGGCATTAAAGTTTGATAAGAACGAACCGATTTCTGCTCGGCCGACGAAATCTGAGAGACCTGTTTTCATTCTGCACGAGATTTTGTCGGTTGAAAGATGATAAACCAAGGTGTCAGATCACTCATGTTGGAGTTCTTTACTCAATATAGAACCATCCTCTACAGGCTTGAAGCGGAGCGGTGAATCGACGTCCTACATGAATGAAGCACGGTCAGAAACCTCTTCTCATCAGTCATTTGCGAGGACCAGAGAAATATGAGGATGGCCGTCGTTGGGTTTGTCCACAGTCGGATCAATGTTTCGCATGTCCAAAGTGTGTTGGTGGTATTTGTGAGTGTTTCGGACCCGCGGTGGATTTTGGCGCCTGAAAATTGAAGCGTCGCAAACCCTGGAGTGATCGCCCAATCAATAGAATCACGTGACTACAAGGATGAGTGAACAAAGTTGAGTAATAACACCGGAGGCCTTTCCGCGCTTTGGTCAGTGGTGCCAGAAGATCTGTCAGTGTCCCATAGCCACAGGTTTGTCGAGTACTCAGTACAAAGGAACTCGTACTCGTAGGTCTGCCAATGCTTGCCGGTTCTTGGCCGTGCCTCTGTAAGATTCATGGCAGCCTGAAGACGGAGGCCAATAGTTCAATGATTGGTGGAAATCACGTAGCAGATGCGCTGATCACGGGGAGACAAAGCTGCCGATATGCCGGGCTCTCGCAAGACAACCACCAAAACCGGACCCCTAGAAGCCACACTGGCCAGTCACAGGCGCTGCAAGGGGGGGACTCTCCGACACAGCCTCAGCACTTGCCCCCAAGTGTTGTGGCTCTTGCGCGCTCTCGTCCGGATGAGCCCTGCGCAACTCTGGCTTTGCCAACTTTCCCTCTCTTGCTGCTTTCCCTCTTCTCCCTTCCTTGTTCCACTTCCCCCCTACGATCCTCACTTGACTCTTCAATCATTCCCTCGTTCCATCACCAACACGCCCTCGCTATTTCACGAACGATATACAGACACCTTCACGTCGACTTCAGACGAGAAAGTTCACATGAAATCTGATTGACGACCTTGTGAACCCTCTGTACCTATTTTTAGGCTGCCTTTAAAGCCGTGCAGGCTCCTAGGCCGCGCACCCCTCTAGTAAACCACCCTCAACTCTACCATGAGTTACCCTACTTCACAATCGAGCATGTCTCAACTCAACACCACGTTTGACCCTGACTACGATTCTTTTTTGAACCTCGAGAATGAATTCACACCTGCAACAACCTCTCCAGACATCAAGTCAGTCCCGATGCTGACCCCCCAGTCGTCCATCCCAGGCTCTGCAACCTTTGCGTCGAGCTCGACTCCTACCACTTTTCCGGGACCCAGCTTCCAGTACGATCGATATCATCAACAGACTGGTATACCAATTGGCGCTCTTGCAAGCACTTTCAATATCAACAAGGCGACCGGGTTACAATATCATGAGGGGAATGGAGGCTTCATTATGCCAACAGAGACACTGAACATGCCTTTGAGCGACTTGGACGAGTTTGACTTCTCTCGCAACCCTGCTGATATGGATTTCGAGACGGATTCGCCAAACGGTCTTCCAATGTTCTACTCTGAGGCTGGGTCTGGTCCAACTCAGTTCGTTAGCCCAACCACTTTGGTGTCCCAGAATACCACCACTTCCGCTCCGAAAAGAATCTATCCTGGAATGCACAGTCAGCAGGCTGCTCAGGCCAAGGCGCAACAGGCTCAGAAACAGGAACAGATTGCACGACAACAGCAGCCCCATCCTCAAAGCCAGAAACCCCTTCCCGGTTCAGTAACCGTCAAAACTCAGCCGGCCAAGGACCCACTCGTCGAAGAAAGCATCTCTAAGGTCTTGAATCGGATGAGGCAAGCTAGCGCTATTTCTATGTCTGATGACGACAACTCTCCTGTGACAGGAATGTCAAACATGCCTCGCTTGAAGAAGGACGAAGATGACATGGATGAAGATGAACGTCTCCTGGCCAGTGAAGAAGGCAAAAAGCTGTCCAGCAAGGAACGTCGCCAACTCAGGAACAAAGTATCTGCCCGTGCATTCCGTTCCAGAAGAAAAGGTATAACCCCACTGTCTGATTTGTTTTCGAGACATCCGCTAACTCCGTCCTCAGAATACATTTCTCAATTAGAAGGAGAAGTTGCCGCCAAAGCTCAAGAGGCCAACGACTTGCGTGCTCAAAACCAGCAACTTCGAGAAGAAAACAACCGTCTCACCGACCTCACGCGGATGTTGCTATCGTCTCAAGCCTTTTCAGGCTTTTTGCAAGAGCTCAGCCAGTCTGGCTTGCCAGCACCGAACGTGCAGAGTAACCCTCAGCAGCAAAAGCCCGTTACAAGCAAGCCTCAACCCCAATCTCAAGTCTTGAAAAAGGACATCGGCTCAGACGAGGCTGCACATAGCATGCATATTCAGCAGCCTCAAGTTGGGATGGCGCTAATTCCAGACACCCCGGTTGATTTCTCTGTCC